TGGGCCACCTTGCTGCCCTGGCTCTTCATGGTCACTGAAGACGCTGGACCTTGGACGCTGCCGTCTCAGGCTCCTTCTTCTCTCCGCCCAGCACCTTACCCAGCAGACTTGATGGCCAGCGTTTGTGGCCACACAAGCCTCTGCTGACCTCTCTCTTTTTTTGTGTGAGAATTCGAATTTCATAAAGATTTGCCTGTGGGTTACAGCGTGAGGACCGGGGGTCTGGTCAGGGTGGGAGCAGCTGCCTCTGGCGTCTGAACCCGTCCAGCACCCCCACGCCTTCAGCAGAAGTCCAGGCGAGTCCCAGGGGCTGTAGGCCGAAAGGCCTGCCGTCCATGGGCTCAGAGGTGCACTGGCCAGGAGAAGCACCCCTTCGCTCAGCGGCACGGCCGCTCCCTCACCGGGAGTCCTGGCAGAGGGTGGGCAGTGGGGTGAAGCAGGGGACAGCCTGCCTGCTCCACGCTGGGACCCTGGTCCTGCCCAGACACAGCTCCCTGGGGTCTGAGCTCTCCCCCACCCTGCTGGACAGCCCCCACCCCCACCCCCGCCCCGGCAGCAGCAAGAGGCCTGTCTTGTCACCTCATGGGCCCTTCAACTGGGCAGCCAAGGGGCACAGGGCCAGGAGTCTTGCCAGACCCTTGGGGCGGCCGGAGGCCCTCAGGTTTGCTCTAATGACCTTGGAAAGTAGGAGGTTTCAGGGTCACCTGTTTGCAGAGATTTACTGACTGAAGAGCCAGCAGCTCCGTGTCCACAAAGGAGTCCACCATGGGGCAGACCCTGCATCGGGAGCCCGCAGTCCGTGAGGGGCGGCGACTCGGCGCTTCCAGCCCTGGCTTTGTGGCTGAACTCGCCCTGCTGACCGGGAACCGAGCGCCAGGGGCACCTCCCGATGCACGGGGAGCATGCGGCTGCCTCTGTTCCAGAGCTTCCTTCTTTCTAAATGAAGACGTCGTTTTCGTTGTTTTTCTTTTGACGGAGACGTGGCTTCGTCTGGAAGAGAAGAAAGAACTGCAGAGCGATTTGCCAGATCTCAGGGGCAGGCCCCAGCGAACGACGGGGCGCAGACGTGGCAGTTCCAGGCAACTTCAAGGGCGGCCCTTCCGACTTCTGCCCGTTTCCCCGGGCTGCTGCCTGAGGCTCTGGCCCCTGTGTTTATGCCGCCGTGTGTGGACACAGCTCCCACTGCAGCTTCTCTGCCACCCCCTCCGGAGGGGGCTCTGTCCCGCAGCCCCCGTCTGCCTCTGCACACTTCGGGCAGGACAGGGACCCCCCCACCCCTGGCCCGGCACTCTGACCCAGGGGTCAACGGTTCCCGAGGATGGGCCCCTTCTGGGGATTCACCGCTGGGACACCTGATGGACAGTCAGAGGCAGAAGCCCTGCTGAACCAGGCTGGCAGCATCTGTGGTCATGTGTGCTCCTGGAACCAGAAGGAGGCTGGCAGATGCGGCCTGCTCCAGGTGGCCCCAGCTGCCGCCCCATCTCTCGGGCTCAGAATTGCATCGAGGCCCCGGTCATGGAGATTCTGGAGTCCCCTTCCCTCACTGGCTGTCTTTTCTCCAAGCTTCCACAGTGGTCTGCCTCGGCTGTCAAAGCTGGCCCTCTGGGCGGCTCGCTGCCTGGCTGCTCCACTGGGTCTGGGAGCCTGGAACAAGTAGGGGTGAAGAATCATCTGTGATGGGGGCCCAGCTTCTCTGGTCCTGCAGGGGGACCAGCTCCCTCTGGGCTGCCCCATCTACCAGCCGTTGATTGGCATATTGAGGCAGGCAAATTGTTGTTCAGTTATGTTGAGGAAAAATTGGGTGGGAAACCTACGAAGAGAAAAGCATGAGGGGGGAAGTGATGGGGTGGCTGCTGGGGGCACGAGGGAAAAGGCTCCCTGGTTCCATTGGTTTTGATGTAGGAATGCTTTCTTCATCTGCCGCCTCTCACCTTTCAAGTAGGGACAGAATTATTCCACGTGGACGTACCTCCTAAAGACAGACAGACCTGTGCTCCATCTATCCGTAATTACATCCATCACCCACACATCCACCCCCCTGACCATTCATCCATCTGTATGTCCGTCCGTCCATCCATGTAGTCATCCATCCATTCGTTTATCCACACTTCCACCCAACCGCCTGCCCACCCACCATCCATCCCTCCATCCGTCTGTCCAACCATCCATCCATCCATCCCTCCATCCATCCATCCATGTGCTCATCCATCCATTGGTTTATCCACACTTCCACCCAACCGCCCACCCACCCACCATGCCTCCATCCATCCAACTGTTCAACCATCCATCCATCCCTCCATCCATCCATCCATCTGTCCAACCATCCATCCCTCCATCCATCCATCCCTCCATCCCTCCATCCATCCATGTGCTCATCCATCCATTGGTTTATCCACTCTTCCACCCATCTGCCCATGCACCCACCATCCCTCCATCCATCTGTCCATCCATCCATCCATCCATCCCTCCATCCCTCTATCCATCCATGTCCG